CTCCTGCCACTGCAAGTTCTGGTGAGGCAGTGGGGCTGGGGGCTGTTTTGGAAGACTTCCTGGAGGAAGGGGGCTTGTAGTCTGCAGTGTCCTGCCAGGCCCTGCCTTCTGAAGTCCCTGTAGGAGCCCTTGAAGGGGACACTGAGGCTCCTGGCTGCTGACTTGCCTGGGATCACCTAGCCCTCAGGAGGCAAAGGGCTGGGTTGCGAGGCTGCCACAGCGGGGATCCCCACCAGCCCTTCATGGCCCACCTCCCCTGCCAGCTCCTAGAGTGGTGACCACCCAGGCTGAAACCCGCACCTCTGGCCCCAGGTAGCACCCACAGGCATGGCTGGCTAGACCGGGAGGCGGAAAGGAGGACTCCGACTCTTCATTTCCTACACTAATCCCCTCCCGTCGGTTTGTGGGTCCTCGCAGCGCCCCTCCTCTCTTCTACTCGGACAACTGCCGCTCATTAGAACCCTGGGGTCACACCCTCCAGGAAGCCACCTGCACCCCGGCCACCCTACCCCAACCCCCGGACCTAGACTGTGACAGCAGGGTACGCTGCCTGCTCCCCGCGAGGCCCAGCCCGCCCCTCCTCCGGGCACCCAGCGCTGGGCCGGACGGGAGGAGCTAGGTAAGCACTCCCACTCCTGAGGGCGGACGGGAACGCGAGGCTGGCGCGAGGGCGGCGGCTGTGGGCGGGGCGAGGGGCGGGGCGAGGGCGGGGCGGACGACCCGGGCAGACCTTGTTGTAGAGCGCGCAGATGTGCAGGGCTGTGTTCCCCGAGGCGTTCTGGGCTCCGGGCTCAGCCCCGTAGAAGAGCAGGTGTTCGAGGTGCTGGGAGTGGCCCCGCTGGCACGCCTGGGGACACGGCATGAGGGCTGGGTCAGACCACGCGCCCTCGGGGCCAGGCGTCTGTCTGTACGCCTCCCCTAAGTCCAGGACTCCCTCACCGACTCCCAGCCTCTTCCGCCCGTTCCTGCTCAGGGGCCCGGGCTGTCAGCATCACAAGTCTGTGTGCCCAGTCACTCCAAGGCCCAGATGTCCGCAGGAGGCCAGGCGGCCAGTCCCACGTCAGAGATGCCAGAGATGTCAGAGATCGCGGTCTCCTGCCCCAGCCCTGCCCTCAGCCAGCGCCCACCCTCACCGCCTGCCCACCTGGTGGATCTCCTGCCAGCCGTTCTCGTCGGCGACGCCCAGCTGCGCCCTGTTGTACAGCAGCAGCTCACAGCAGCGGGGGTCGCCCCCTACCATAGCCGTGTGGAACAGAGGGGTCAGCCCCCGGCGGTCCTTGTAGTTGGGGGAGCCCCCGAGGTCCAGGAGGGCCTAGGACAGAGAGGGCCCAGGCAGAACTGAGGACAGTCACTGAGCACAGCTCACTCCCACCCGACAGCACCAGCCGGTTCTGCTGCAAGGTCCTTGCAGATGACCCCAGGCCAGCCTGTCCTTTCTCTGGGCTCCTCCGTCCCCGTGCACAGCCTCCTAGAGACCACCCACGCCGACATCTGCCCAACCAGAGCAGGGTCCAGCGGCCATGGTGTACCACACTACACAGGCCAGCCGGGGGACAGTGCGAGGGTGGGGCCCAGGTGTGGCAGGGCCCCTGGCCAAGCAGGGGATGTTATTAAGAAGGACGAGGACCACAAAGATGGGGCATGGGGGGCAGCCTGTGGAAAGGTGAATGGGGGTTAAGGTGAGTATGAGGACCCGTCACTGCAGCTACTGCTAGGGGCAAGGAGTGGGCCAGAGAGAGGGAAGTGGTGGTGGTGGCCCTGCGTGGGGACGCCTGTGGCAGTGCTGCCCCATGGGACGTCTGGATGGCGGAAATGAGCAACCGAGCCTTCCAACGTGGGGCCACCGTGGGCTACGAGCCCGGGAAGGCGGCTTGTGAGCCCAAGGGACTGAGATTGGAACTTCACTTCGGCTGGCTTAGTTTAGGTCGAAGAGGCTACTGGGTTGCACAGCCAAAGTCTGGGGGCTGGGTGTGGGCGGGGGTGAGTGTGCTGGGGACCCAGAGAGGCCCACTGGTCCCAGGGCCCTAAAGGCTCTCAGCGGCTGGGGGTGGCCTGCATTAGGGGTTCTTCAGGGAAGGGCTTTGAGAAGAGGCGGAGGGTCCCTTCGGCTGGAGTGACTGCAAGCTGGGGCGTTTGTCGACGGCTGCCTGTGTGTAGGGGCGACCACCTGACCTGTGTGGGCAGGTTCAAGCACGGTGGCAGCTTCCAGGGCGAGCAGAGCGTTACAGCCGACTCTGTGGGTGTACTCTGCAGGTGCGTGGGGTTTGTGTACTTGGGAAAGTGCACTTGGGCCCTGTACGGGGGACTGCCGGCGTGGAGTTCGAGAAGCGCAAGGGCCGGCAGGGGGCGTGGTGGGTAAGGCGCCGGATCCCTCATCCCATGAGTCCCGGACCTGGAGGCTTGCTTTCTCCCTTTCCCTTTCTCTCTCTCTCTCTGTCTCTCTCTGGTCAAGTTAAAAATAATAATAATAACAAATGGAATTAAATATGTTAAAAAAGAACAAGTGCAAAAAAGTTTGAAATCCATGCACTGTCTTCCTATAACATGAACTTTCCGTGAACTTTCTTGCAGACCCCTCATCCGTCAACAGCGGGCTGTGTTTGCCTGAGAGAGAAGCGGGAGAGGGTCTAAGGAGTGGAGCGCCAGGTTTGCAGGAGGAGATGGGCCTTTTCAGAGGGGTGTGGAGGGTATGGCAAGAGCTCTTTTGTTTTGGGTAAGTCTTGCTGTGTCGTGGTCCTCCTGCCTCAGTCTCGAGTCCCTGGGATCACAGGTGTGTGACACCGTGCCTGGCCATTAGGGTAGAGCAGGAATTGAACCCAGGCCTCCCGGCAGACTCAGCCTACAGCACGGTGGCTTAGCACCCACGGCACCCTGGCTGGGCTCCATTCTGTGTCTAAGGAGCAGAGGAGGGTTTATGCCTCGAGGAGATGGGTGAGCCGGTACTCAGCCAGGTCCAAGGAAACAGAGCCATCCTGAGAGTCTGGGGAGGAGGCCGTGCCCAGGGAGAGTCACGTGACTGACTGAGCACAGAGAAAGGGCCAGCATGCCCAAAGGGCATGCCCAAAGGGTTGGCTGTAGCGGAGGCGGGTGTGCCTGGGTGTCTAAGGAGGGACAATGGGGGCTGCGAACCTGCCAGTCTACAGCAAGGGGCTCTGCACTGCGGACGCAGGGGTGTGTGGGGCTCGGAACAGACACAGAAGGACTGGGGTTTCCCTGCAGCCTCACCGTGAGAGCCAGACAATGCCGGGCGCATGCGGCCTTATGCAGTGCGGTCATGCCATCTCGGGCCCGGAAGTCGATGTGGGCCCCGCCCAGGCACAGGGTTCGAATCACCTCCACGGAACCTTCGGTCTGGGCTGCCAGTGTCAAGGGGGTCTCTGGGGGGCGAGAAAGACCTGTCACATGCAGCACCTTTGCCTCTCTCCGGCCCGTCCATCTCCTAGACGCCTTGTTCTTGCTCCCAGCCCTCTAGTGGGGACTGATCTGGGTGCAGGAGGCCTTCCTGTCCCGCCCGCTGCCCTCCATGACATGCGCCCCTGCCCACCTCCTGAATCCGAGTCATGGTAATTGGGGTCCAGCCCCTTGTCCAGCAGCCGCGCCACCTTGTCAGACGTCCCGAGCTGCACATACTCCAGGAACTTCTTCAACCCCGTCTGAGACACGGACAGAGAAGGCAGGCCGTCAGGAAGCAAGGGGGAAGCAAGAGGGAAGAGCGAGGGTCTCAAGTGGCACCCTTTGGTCAAAATACACACCAAGCCACACAGGCTTTCAGACGTAAACGTTTCCTATGGGACCAGCTGATGGTGTAATGGTTACATTGCTGGACTCCCACATAGTCAACTGCAGTTCAAGTCCTGGACCTGGAGGCTTAACACTCAAGCCAGGTGCATGTGCGTGTGTGCCCAAAAATCCCAAGAGGAGAATGGAGAAGGAATTGCAGCATGGCCATCCCCTGTGGGGAGTGACTTCTCGCTTTCTGTCTCTCTGTCTCTCTATTTCTCTGTTGAGTACATGCACCCTGTAGCAAAAGTCTCTCTTTTTTTTTCTTTTTTTTTTTTGGAGAGGTTTTTGCTATAGGGCACGTGCACTCGCCAGATAGAGAGAGACAGAGAGACAGAAAGTGAGAAATCGCCCTCCAGGGGGGATGGCCACTCTGCAATCCCTTCTCCTCCATTCTCCTCACAGGATCTTGGGCACGCACGCACACGCGCCCAGTGTGAGTTTAAGCTGCCTGGTCCAGGACGCGAACCACAGTCGACTACGTAGGAGTCCAGCAACATAGCCCTTACGCTAACTGCTGATCCTGCAAAAGTCTCTCTCTTTTTTTTCTTTTATAATTATTTTTTATTTTTACTTATTCATTCATTAATTTTTTTTTTAAATTTGACCAGAGAGAGACAGAGGTTGAGAGTGAGAGAGAGAGAGGAAGTGAGAAAGCAAGCCACCAGATTCAGGACTTGAACCCTGGTTGGCCATGTGGGAGTGTCCAGCGCCTTAATCACCACGCCACCTGCTGGTGGTTACCCCCTCCCCCCACAAAAGTTTCTTTTGAAAAAAATAAATAAGGAGTCGGCAGGTGGTGTGGTGGAAGGCGCTAGATCCCCACGTGGATGACTGCAGTTCGAGTCCCGGACCTGGTGACTCGGTTTCATGCTTTCCCTTTCTCTCTCTCTTTGTCTGGTCAAATTAAAAAATAATAATAACAAATTAAATAAAACAAAAGTTTCTTTGAAAAGAAAGAGGGGTGGGATCAGCAGACGGCGTAATGGTTATATTGTTGGACCCTCACATGATCAACTGTGGTTCGAGTCCCAGACCCAGAGGCTTGAAACTCATGCTAGGTACTTGTGCCTATGTGCCCAAAATCCCAAGAGGAGAATGGAGGAGAAGTGACTGTGGGGTGGCCATTCCCTGGAAAGTGATCTTTTGTTTTCTATCTCTCTGTCTCTCTCTGGCAAGCACATGCATCCTCCAGCAAAAATTTCTCAAAAAGAAAAAGACAAAGAAAAGAAAGAGGGACCTGGCCTGTGATGTGATGGTTAAGATGACTGGGTCTCACATGGCCAACTGTGGAGTTCAAATCCTGGCCCTGGCAGCTTGAAAACCACGTTGGGTGTGTGTGCGTGCATGCCCAGAATTCTGAGAGGAGGAACTGCTGTGTGGCCATACCACCTGCGGGTACTTTCTCACCTTCCTCTGTCTCTACAGCGAGCGCACGTGGCTTACAGCAAAATTTTTAAAAATAAGAAAAATAATAAAAGAGGAAAAGATAAACTTCGACTGGATTGAAATTCACTGGAATGATATACATCCTTTTTCTTTTCTTTCTTTCTTCTTTTTTTTTTTT